GACAGAAAAAGTACAAAAATGAAAAGAAACACCTTTTTTTTTTTCCCCTCCCTGGGAAGCGTCTTTTTCAGGATCCACGTTGTGGCCGCAGACACGGCAAAGGCACTTTTTTCTTCAAAACCGCTCGTCTATGAACACATAAATTGTTCTTCTTTGGTAAGGCTCAAATAAAGGTTGTTCCCTGAGGTGAGGCGACACGAAGCCGGCCGGGATCGTGCAGCGTCCACCAGGGCCTGCACTGGCTTAAAACAGACTTTGAAAGTTTTATTAAAACATTTTAAAAAGGAGACCATCTCTTTAACTATTACCTATAAATTCTTGCTTTTCAGTATTAAAAAGCAGTCCCTTGAAACATAATGCTGGAAACATTTTTCAGTGTATTGCTCTTCCCACCAATTTTTTTTTTTGTGTTTACTTTTACCTGTGTGTGTACAGGGGAGAAGGGAAAGCACAATTTTCATCCTTTTTTTTTTTTTTCATTTCTTCAGGCAGGTGAACTGGAGAGATTGACAAGACTGAGAAATGCTGAATTAAAACACAGCTGTGTCGCTGCCTTGGGTAGACACAACCCCCTGGCATCCCTTGGAAGCGTTAACCCAAAGCCCTCCAGACACCCAGCAGAGTCGATGGAGGAGCCAAAGAGAAAGATTAACGCCAAAAGAATCTGCACTATTATCCTGCAGTGGGTAACATAAAAAAAATACATTTGAGAGTATTGGCTGCCCTGGCTCCTTCTGCCACGGGTGTATGATGTTTGTCTTGGGCGTGAACGTGTGTTTGGGACAAACCGTGTTCATAGCCCTGCTGTTTTTTTCATGATGTATTAAATATAGGCTTAATACAGAAAGCCAGAAGTATTTCCAGAACTTTTTTTTTTTCCTTGCATATTCTAAGAATAAAAATCTCCTCTTTCAGCTTCTCTAACATAGAGGTAAAATGTGAGCAAAAGTAGTGCAACAACACTCAGTTTGAATAAAAAAGGAAGGAAGAAAAACTTCGGATCATAAAATGCAGCTCCCATGCTTAGTAAAATGTAATTGCTGTTGGTTAGGAAAGAATGACACCTGCACCCTTGACGAGTCTGGGGAGAGATGCCCAGTGATGACAGCATTCAAGCTGGGTTCAGGAGAAAGTTCAGGATCAGCTTCTGTACCAGGTTCGTGTGAACTCCAGCAGCTCACTACCCCACCATTTCACAGCACGTTTTCTGCCAGATCTGGTCCTCACCTCACCTCTGCGTGTGCCCCAGTGTGCTACATCACTCTAAAGGCACGTAACCCCTCAGAGAAGTACCTAAAACACCTCCTGCCTGCTAAACGTCCTGTCTCAGCCTTCCTTTCCTGAGTGCACACACTTCATTGTAGCTCCATGTGCTCAGCTATCTGCCTTTGGTGGAGCTTTGACCATTTCAAACATCAGGGGAGAAAGCCACCTACCACTTTTCCAAACTATCCATTTACCTCAGCTGAGTAAACAGACCAGGGCAGGCAGTTTATTCTCCACCTGACAAGCTAGGGAGTTGGTTGAAATAATTTTCTCTTGCAGAAGGGATCTGCTGGAGAACCCTCGCAGGGGGCTTGGCTGCCCGACTTGGCTCCCCCGGGCAAGGGGAGATGTCTCTGCAAAATGCTATGGTTTTTGCATGGCACAATTTGGCACTTAAAATAGACTTTCCAGCTCCAGAGCTTAATCACAGTGTCCCACACTGAACTTGCTTAGGTCCATAGGTTTGCTGGGGTTTTGTTCCTGTTTCCAAGAAAAAGGCCATGGGAACATATTTCTCATATTCACCTCCTCTGATGTGGGAGATGAATTTTGGTTTACACTCAACACAGACAGATGTATATGTGAATTGTGTTTCTGTGGGAGGAGAATCATAGACGCACAAAATGGTTTGGGTTGGAAGTAGCCTTAAAGATCCATCTAGTTCCAGCCCCCCTGCCACGGGCAGGGACACCTTCCACCAGACCAGGTTGCTCAAAGCCCCATCCAGCCTGGCCTTGAACAACTCCAGAAGTTGTGGATGCCCCATCACTGGACATCTGTCTGTTTGCCCAGTGATAGTCGAGTGTAAACCAGAATCCATCTCCGCTTCCACATCAGAGGAGCTGAATATGATGCACCTCTGGAAAAGCACTCTGTAAGGTTTCCTGAGAGGTAGCAAATCAGTGGAAAAGGTACATGAAAAGAGGGGATTATCAGCCAACAAATCTGCAGGTTTCCTTGGGATGGCTAGTGTAAATAAAGATCTTGAACTAGGATTTAAATAGGTCATTATCACCTCAGTTTTATCTCTATATTCCAAACATCAGATGAAAAATGCGTGGCCTGATTGTCCAGCTGTAATAGAGGCATTGCAAACAATTTAATTATTTAGCAAAGAAGGGAGAAAAATAAATTAGTAGACTGAAGCACTAATGGAAAATGTGTCAATAAATAAATATTGAATATCAAAGTTGGTTAGTGTTTGATAAGTACACAATCCTACAATCAGAGTAATACAAAGCAAAGTAAATTCTTTTATTTACTACTAAAATTACAATTAAAAGTCTTTCAAGACTGCATGAACAAATTCTGATGTTTCATTCCTGGTTTAGATTACAGACTTGAAAGAAATTGCAGCTGTGACAAATTTAAAATGGATATACCGAGTAGGAATGAACACAGCCAAGTGCAACACTACATTGTTTAATTAAACAAACACCTCATTTCAGGATATGTGAATTCTTGTTAATAATTCTCTGTAGTCTGCTGCTGCTCTTAGGTTTCCCAGCCCACGGTGCCTGTCCCGCTGCACTGACATCTGCTGCACTGCAAGTCAAGCAATGGTTTGCACAGGTGAGAATTTTCCAGGTTTTATTTTGCATCCAGCTTCTTTCAAATGCTCAGCCTGCACATGAATATAAAGGGAGAGTCACAAAATATTAGGCTTTTCATTCACACCATCGGTGTTTAAATCCAACATTGTCTCTCTAAAACTCGTGGGCAACCATTGCCTACTTCAGAAAATGCCCCACGTTCAGAAGTACCTTCAGGAGCAAAGCTCCCTTGAGTCCACAAACTCGAGCAAGAGTGGTGGCTTTCAGGGGAAGCTGTTACAATATGAATGGAATAATAAAATATTCCTTGAGCCAAAGGAAGAGAGAGAATGACTTGGCACCCCACTGCGATGATGCAGCATTGCCAATGTGGTTTCTTCAGACTACTGTAATGACATTGTCTGGCTGCCTCTCAGAGCCCCTTTTAACAATTTGCTTAACCCTTTGACCAATTTCAGCCAAACTCTGTGGGAAAGCAGAGCTCTCCAAGAAATGAAAGTTTCTACAAGTTTAGTGTGGGCAGGGGCAAGGAAGACTGAAACATTTGCCCTTGTGGCAGCTGGCAGCTAACACATCCGACCAGGCAGCTGGGCAGGAGAGATGTGGGGTTAGAGCAAGTGCTGCCGCTTGCCCGACTCCTGCTCTGGGGATGTGGGGAGACACGAGGGTGGTGTATAGGGAAATGGAGACCATTGCAATTCAACGGGCCAAAGGAGCCCATCTAGAGACGAGCTGGAGTCACTGTGGTCAGAGTGGGCAAGGGAAAGGGCAACACTCACTAGGAAATCCAGATTCCTTCATTGTGCTGCTCCGCTGATGACTTGCTTAATGCAATAGTCGGATTTTCAGTGCGCAGGTAACGAGCCAGATGTTTTATGGCCCTAGCCATTGACTTTACTGGTAGATCTGGAGCACACCATCAGTAGACTGGAGAGCAGACCCTGAATTTTGGGCAATTGCTCATCACATTTGACCTGTCCAGGGTCACAGGCGATGGTAAATTGGAAAAGATGGTAAAATATGTTTCGGGACACTTTGCCAAGCTGAGGACTGCCATGCTTTAAGAAAGATCACTAGTGCACAGTACAAACTTTGTCTCTTTTTTTGAGGCCGTATTCTTTATTGTGCTACAGGTGAACTTGGCAAGCGAGGGTTTGGAGCGCCTGCCTTGGCAGCGGGGAGCCTGCACCCGGGTTAAGCACACAGCCCCTTTACAACAGTTTTGCCACAGAAACAAAACCTGGAAAAACAAAGAGCGCTGTGCTGCCAGGGAAGGGGACTGCTGAGGAGCTGCCTACAGGGAACCCAGAACGGCTGGAATCTACGTCCCACTGACGAGGTACCACAGGGAGCCAAACGCGATGACATCTTGCAACCTATAGCAGCGAGGCAAAATGCAGACTGGCTGTTTCTGTGGATGTTGGATGAGAGGGTGAAGCCCAGGGAGCATTTAGAGCCCTCTTTGGAAGAGGTGGGAAGGCAAAATCCCCTGTTTGCCCTTTCTCTGGTGCCTACCCCAGACTCAAGGTCACCTTCAGCTCCGGCGGCTGTGCTTGCCTGGGCTTGGTGGGAGGCGCGGGTAGCCGGCTCTCCTGCAGCAGGCTTCGCCAGCCTCCTGATTTCTGGCTCTCGGGGATGTGTGCTTGCTTCAGGAGGCATGTGCAGAGCTGTCAGGAGCAGAAGCAGCGCAGGCAGCCTGCACCACATTCCTCCAACCCTGTTTCTCAGCAGGGCTCTTTTTCCAGCGCTGTGTTTCCCCTTGATTGATTACCTCTGCCATTGTGGGGCTGACATCTTACAGGGGAGAGCTGCTTGGTCCCTTATCGTGGGAGCATGAGGAGTGATCATTCCCCAGCGACATCCCTTGATAACAGTGAATTATAGCTGGGAAGGGAGGCAAACGATAGCAGGAACATGCTCAACAGAGGTGTTGTTATTTTTGGGACAGGAGGCTTCTGCAGAGGAGGAGGAAGAGAGCTTGGAGGGTGGACGGGGGAGTCCTGTCATTGCTGATGCTCTCTAGGGCTCAGCAGCTGGAGAGAAACATTGGCTAAGGATGGTCAAAGCGGGGAAGGAAAAAAAGAGAGGAGGGAAAGGGATGAAGTGAAAGGAGCCAAGAGCCACGCTGCAGAGCATACAGACAGCCTGGTGACCTCTAGTGCACAAGGGATGAAGGAAACGGACTGTTATTGACTATGTGGACCATCTGGGTGATCATCTTTTGGATTTCAACTGTCCTGGTAGGTGCTCAGAGCTATCTATTCCCAATTGCATGGAATAACATGTTGTCTGAGTAAGTGTACCTCTATTCCATGAAGTTGTGGTGTCTTTGCTTAAAAAGGTCTGTGTAGCAGCTGTTTTTTTTTTTTTTCATTATTATTCTTGCTTCTGCTGCTTTCTGCACTAATTGAGAGGCCAGATGGTTAGATGCTGGATGCCTCAGTTTCCCCACCTATATAAAGACAGCAGCATGCCTCACTTTCCCCAGCTGTATAAAGACAGTGTTACTAACCTGCTTTGGTAAACATAGCAGGTTCTGTGATGAAGGAGAAAAGACTTGATGCCTTTTAGAGAAGCTTCGCTTATTTACACCAGCAAGCGATCCCCTAAGGGGGTATGCCCAACACTACCAAAGCCTCCCTTGATTCAGATTGAAGGAATGCAAAGCAATGCTTGACCCACAAAGTTTGGTTTCTTTCGTTTAGCTTTCTCACTTTACTGGGAATTTATGTGGCAGGTTGTCACTGCTGAGCTCCAGGCGCTCAGACCAGTCGGCGGAAGGACAGCTGAACCCGAGCTGTGATCTCCAGGTGCCGCTCAGCTTGTTCAGATTTTGAAAGCATGCAAAACCAAGACTGAAATATGTCCAGCTTGGGTGTAAGCAGCTGGGAAAGGATCAAACTCTTGGCAAATGTAAAAAATCACTGTTTCATTGCAACTAATGAAAAGATCAATCTGTTTGTTCCAGCAGGGGATTTGGTTCAAACTCTGAGAAAACCTGAGCTCTGCCTAGACATTTTAATGGGAGAGTGAATGCAGTCTGCAAACTTTTTTTGCCTTTTGATCATCTTCCACAGTAAGAATAGTGACTGTGATGGTTTTCTTGTCATTTTGGTTTCTTAGTCTTAGGTACTACCAAAAGGACTCTGTAAATAGATGTCATCGCTCAGGATGCCACTGAGAGCATCTCCTTCCACTTGTTCTTTTTCTAATCTTTCAAAATACCTATTTTGGTTTTGCTAGGCATCCTTTCTTCTCCTTTAAATCCTCTCAGTGAACTAAACCCACTTACTTTCAAATTAAATGCCTGTGAATTCTGTGGCTGCAAATATTATTTATATTAAATAATGTTTAGATCCATTCATTCACAGGCTAAAAACTGTAGTTGGCTTTTGCTATCAATATCACAAACTGCAGCTTTCTCCCCATTCTGGACATCTAGTTATCACTAGCTATTTCTGTTTGGAATGCTTTTGGTGTCTTATATTGTCTTTAAACAAAACATGAGGATGTCTTGCCCCCTCATCAAAATCTGACAGCCTGGGAGCTGGGAGCTGTTTCAGTGAACTGTTTAGGAAGAGATGAAGAAACCACATGTAGAAGAGCCCATTTTCCTTCACCATTTCAAGGCACGGGGGCAGGCTGTTTGCTCCCAGTTGCGGACGGTAAACACGCGTGAGACTGAGCACAGCTGGTAGCGGAGTGGGGTTATCTGGCCGTGAATCGGGATTTCGCATCGCTCAGCAAACAGCCGTGCGGGACCTGACACAGCCCCGCTCGCTCCCAGCCTGCCCTGTCGGATGCCAGCGTTGGTAAAGACTGACCGAGAGACAGTGTTTGTGGAAAACAAGGTCTTTAAACCAGCACCCGGAGGTTCTCTGCTTTCTCTGGGTTTAAAATCCTGTTACCCAGGATGTCTATTACCACATGTCTATTACCAGGCAGCGGTATCTATCTGATCAGAATAGGGTGGACATTGCTTGGTGGGGTAAAACAGTAACTGTAAGGCATTAAGTACACCATAATCCTGCTTGAGCAACGCATTTTATGTAAGAAAATGACACTCTTTAAGGCCACCTGTGT